TCGTTTAGTTTAGTGATAAACACATAGGTATCCATATAGTAGCGTCCGTATGGACACAAATATATAAATATTTATACAATTATATAGATATATATGTATACACATACATATCTATATAGTGGCGTACACGTGAACATAAATATATATATATATATGCATATTCACGTACATAGAGTATAATTGGATATAACTATATAGATATACATATATATATTTACATGCATATCTACATGTATATATTATACATGGATATAACTATATAAATATATGTGCATATTTGTATAAGTATCCATATAGTTGCATACATATAAGTGGGTCCCGTACAATTTAGTGTATGGAAACTGATGAATTAAGGTGGGTTACATGCGATTTAGTGTGTGGAAACTGATGAGTTAATTTAAGTGGTCTCGTACGTTTTAATATTTTTTTGTAAGTAAATAGAATGTAAAAGAAAAAGAAAAATAAAAAAGTCTAAAAATGAAAGTAAAATAAGATAAGTCCACCATTTAAAAAAAATGCATTTTTGACAATTACACTTTTCAAAAATACACTTAATGGTAATATTCTCCATATATTAGATATGTCAAGTAAAAGTAAGAAATTAAAAAAATAGATCAAATCGGATAGCAAATATTTAGAATATTTATTTTAAACTCAAATTTATTTTATATATATTTACTTTTAGTAAAAAAATTGCATGGATCTATCAATATGTTTAGCTTCTGATAATCTTTTTTTGTCCCATATAATTTGTAAACTAGTGGCTTCCAAATTATGGATGCTCTTAACCTTGATTAGTGACTTTATACCCGATATATATCTAGAGCATATGAACAGTGTCTCCTCCTAATCGAATCATTTAATTTAAATAACAACTAGGGAGAAAATAGTGTATTAAGCAACGTAAAACAAAAAAACTGTAATATGGTGAAAATTTACATAAAAACTCGGAACATAAAAAACCTAACGCACATAGATGATGATTATTTATAGATACATGAACGCACGTGGGCTGAAGCAGAATGAACAAGAATAGGTGGATCAGTCATTTTTTGTTCACATCATTTCGCTGCCAAATTGTTTAATCACTGTTAATCGTTGAAAAAACCTTTCAGTACATAAGTCACCCCTACTCTCACTACCACTGCCTCTCTTTCTTTTTTGGTTCCACTCATTAACAATTTACTTACTTTACTTACTACCTCTTAGATTCTTTTTGGCCATTTATTACTGTCAGTTCTTATAATATATGACCAACTGAAAATATGTCCATCGTTTCTAGATTTGACTACCTTATCAGTTACTTTAAGTTCCATAACATTTGACCAAATAATTGAAAGAAAATTTAGAAATTTCTCTAATTATTTTTTCCAATAGCTTACAACGTATATTCATTTCTTATAATTGAGGATAAATTTTTAAAATTATATTATTTAGGGATATTACTTTATATAAATAACAAGTTTTATTTTTTTACTATTGATTATAAAATTAAATCTTAATGCTCCATATATATAATATATATTAAATGATAGCAAAAATTAATATTTTATATTTTCAATTTATATATATACAAAAAAAAAATTGTTATCGAAATATTATATGGGTGAATCTCTAATGAGTAACAAACTTTCAAAGCCTTTGATCACCACTTGGACATTTTCAAGGACTACCTCATTTTCACATCAGTATCACATGATTTGGTTGATAAATAGAAGTTTATTTTTTGAAAAATAGCAAAAGAAACAAATATTAAACTGTGCGGATGTAGAAATATCAACATCGTCAGTCTAAATAATTTTTCAGGTGAATGAAAAAAAGAAAAATTGTAAAGTGAAAAATTAACTCCGAAATATGGATATTAAGAAACTAAGTCTCTTTTCTTCTAATCGGGTGATAAAAGCCCTGATTATCCCATCTTATAAAAAACAAAAACAAAAAATCTCTTATCTCCAAAAGAAATGCTTTTGTAAATCAATTCCAAATTATTATTTTGAGTGAGCAAAGTGGATAATGGCTTGAATGGATCAAACTTGTCTGATCTCCACCGTATTTCGATGTTTATGACAGTAGATCAATATACAAATCACTAGATGCACGTAAAAGATGGATTGCAGAGTTCATATCTCCATGTTTAATGATTTTTATTTTTCTAATGATTGCGAAAAAATTAAAGTTTTAGCATTATATTCTGTAGCGTTTTCAACTCTATATTAAAAAAGAATAGAAATGTTATTTATCAGTTAAAAACTTATATTGGTTTATGAAATAGTTATTTCATTACTTATAAAAATAAAAATTTAGAAATACTTTAAAGCAACATTAATTAAAAAAATTCTAGAATTACTTGTAAAGTGGCCATTAATTAAAAAAACATAAAACTACTTTTAAAACGATATCAGTGAGAATTTTACACTACATATCATTTTCTGTCTTTATAATTACAGAAATAACATTTTCTGCTACTCTAACATTATACATTGGTTGAAAGACAATTATCTCATTCTTTTACCTTTTGTAATTTATTGATTAAAGATAAAAAAAAAGTTTATCTCTCTCTTGTCGACATTACCATCACTATTTGCTTTTTTTTCTTTGTTTTTTTTCTTTTTTTTCCCAAACTTCTATTCTATATATTTTATTTTGTTTATTTTCTTTTTATAAAAAATAATTTATCAATTATTTTTACACTGTCAGTTATATTTATTTTATGTCTATATTTTGATACCCATTTCAGAATAGTTGACTTATATATAATTCACATAAATTATGTAAAAATGATATGTATATAGATAGTTATATATATGTGTACCATATTGTCGTGAATTTGAATGTATATCCATGTAAATGCATCCACGTGCACCAAATACGTTTACATATCCATGTAACTACATCCACATGTATCATATGTTTGTGGATACATCTATCATCCACGTGTATATAACTATATAATTACATGTACGTTTTATCTATTTATACAAATTATACATAAGTAAACTATTGTAAAATGGGTTTCAATATATATATATAAAATAGATATAACTGATAATATAAACATAATTATTAAATTATTTTTTATAAAAAGAAAAAAATAAAATATAATATGTGGGATATAAGTTTAAGAAAAAAAGAGGAAAAAAAAGCAAATGTTTCTGAAGTTTTCGACAAGAGATGGAGAGAAAGGCTTTTTATTTTTATTTTTGCTTTTATGTTTACCTAATAAATTACAAATGATAAAAGAATGAGATAATTGTCTTTTAGTCAATGTAAAAGGTAAAAAAGTGTTAGGATAACAGAAAGTGATATAAAATGTAATTAAAAGTTAGAAAGTGATATGAAGTGTAAATTATTCTATATCAACTGTTTATAGAAAAACGTTTCAATTATATTTTGTTCTCTTTGTATTTTCAAATTAGATATATAGGATTCTATGAAAGTTATATTCATATGGTCATCCATATATTATTGTCATTTTGTATGATTTGGATACTGAGGATCATACAATATAATTTTTATAAATTAATGCTCAATAAATTAATATCTCGATAAATTAATACATTTCTTAAGTTTCAAATTATTATTTTAAATTGATTTCTATATCGATAAATTAATAATTTTATAAATTAATAAAGTATTACAATCCCAACATTATTAGTTTATATAGGTTTTACTGTAGTTTGTTTTTAAGTTATTCCACCTACTTTTCAAATGCTATGGTAATGCTTTAACGATCTAACCTTAATGAGTGATTTTAATATTTTAGCATCTCATACTGAAACTTAAATAAAAGATTTAAAAGAAAACAACATTTCGAGCGCGACTTCAAATTTTAGTTGAACTATTGGCTATATTTTATTTTATTTTATTGAACAAAATTCCGGTTTGGACGAGCAAATGTTTTATTCTAGTCTTCTAGAGCCCTAGAATTTTCGTTTCTTTTCTTTTTGTACAAAATAGATTTCATAGGCACTAATATAAAACTGAATGTTGACCGCGGAACAGAACAAGTGTTGAAAGAAGTGTGTGTAGCATGGTCTTATCATAGAGCCAATAGTTTGAATTAATATAAATCGTATAGTATCCAGTAAAGCATATTCACAATTCTATTCTCTTTATTTTATCGGTTTCTTATGCAATCTTTTATCCGATAACGAAGACAAAATAGTCTCTTACCACCAATACAAATATATAATATCGGAAAAACTGATCCATATCATCATATTCCAGAGACATCAAAATTCATTTTACAAATGGCTAACCAATATCTACACCAAAATATATCATTTAACCTAGCAAGTAGCGGTAGCTGAAAATACCCGCAAGACCTAGATGATCAAACATTGAATGGTACATCTTAATTCTAATTTTTTAAACCACTTTATAATTTACTAATATACTTAGTTGTATTTAATATATTTATATAACATAAGCCTATGAGAGGAGGATACAGAAGAGAAAGGAAAGAACGAAAGCTTTGCCTTATCTCTTGTCCCTTCTCTCTTACCTTTATATTAATTTTCAAATATTTCTTTTTGCTCCCAAAGCAAACGACGTCTTGTCAATCCACTCAAGCCACCCAACTTCTTCATTATTGTTAATCTCTCTTTCTCTCACATCTTTTTTTCTAATTTCTTCTGTTCCATATCACTTCTTTGACGAATTCTATATACCCAGTTCGTTTTTTCTTCCTCATATATTTTCCTTTTCAATTTATTTGGTTTTTGTTGGGCGCAACTTTACCTCACAATTTGTTTTTTTTTTCTTTTTTTTGTTGAGTAGGCCTTTTGATTCGTAGTTATGAGTCGTCTAGTCATCTGGATTTGATGTGGTTATAGTCTAACAGAGACCTTTGATTGAAATCAGAACAATAGCAAGAATACATACATCCCCTTCATCTTGCGCCCATCCCTCTTATTTTCTAGGGTTTTATTTGTTTATTTCAGTTTTTTGTTTTGTTTTTAATATTCTCTTTCTCTCTCTCAAATTTTGCTCATCTGGGTATGGAAGAATACCAACATGAAAGCAGCTCCACACCTCATAGAGTAAGTCTCTTGTACTCTCCAATCTCCTCTTCCAATAGAAACGATAACACCCACAACAACAGCAGCAACAATAACAATTATGATCCTGGTTACAACAATACTAACAACAACAATCATCAACATATGTTGTTCCCACAAATGAGCTCTTTTTTTCCTCAAACTACCGAGAATTGCTTTCGATCCGATCATGATCAGCCCACCAACCCATCTGTTAAATCCGAAGCAAGCTCCTCAAGGATCAATAACTACTCTATGTTGATGAAAGCCATCCACAATACCCAAGAAGCTCACAACAACAACAATGATGTGGAAGCCATGAAGGCTAAGATCATCGCTCATCCACACTACTCTACCCTCTTACAAGCTTACTTGGACTGTCAAAAGGTTTGATAGATTTAGCACTCGATATCCCGTTTCATTATTTATTATTATTATTATTATCATTATAGTATATACTTATCTAGCTAGTTTAATATGTATATATATATATATATATATATATATATTCATGGGTCATGGCTTATACAGATCGGAGCACCAACCGAGGTGGTTGAAAGATTTATAGCCACGCGGCAAGAGTTTGAGGCGCGGCAACAGCGGTCAACACCGCCCGTGACTGCATCATCCAGAGACCCGGAATTGGATCAATTCATGGTTGATTAATTTTTGGCGTACTTTTTTTTTAGTTTGAATTTTGAGTGGGTTGGTTCTTTAAGTATATATGTCAACTCTTAAATTTTATATTTTTTTAAATAAACAGGAAGCATACTGTGACATGTTGGTTAAATATCGAGAGGAGCTAACACGACCCATTCAAGAAGCAATGGAATTTATACGTCGTATTGAATCTCAGCTTAGCATGGTGTGTCAGGGTCCCATTCACATCCTCAACAATCCTGGTACATATTATCAATCTCACATATATATACATACACATATACATATATGCACATGTGACGACAATTGATTGTAGTGGCAAGGTAGGGCTTATAATGGATTGAATAAAAAATGGCCTGTTTCTTTGGTTCCCTGGAAAGTTATTGTAACAATGAGAGTTCTTTTTTTTTATATATATAATCTATTTCTCAAATGTTAATTAGATTATATAAAAATTGGCATGTATTATTGTTGGAAGTGTGGAAGAGCAACCAGGTGTGCATATTTGTTCTTGTTTTCCCCATTGTGGAATCAATCCAAAGAGGGTGGGGCTTGTTTTTGTTTGTTTCTTTTAACCCGGCCTGAAGTACTATCACAAGAACTTTTTTGTTATTTATTATGCCAAACTGCAAATACGATTTCGATTCCGTAAGGCAAAACCATTGAATTTTCATAAAGGTCAATGACTAAAATGCTGTTAAAGCTTCATTCAAAAAAAAGCTGTTAAAGGACATAAATTATCTAACTGATGTGAAGATGAAATGTTAAAACAGATGGGAAAAGTGAGGGAATTGGATCGTCAGACGAAGAGCAAGAGAACAACAGTGGAGGGGAAACAGAATTACCGGAAATAGACCCCAGGGCGGAAGATTGGGAACTTAAGAATCACTTGCTGAAGAAGTACAGTGGATACTTGAGCAGTCTAAAGCAAGAACTGTCCAAGAAAAAAAAGAAAGGCAAACTTCCCAAGGAGGCAAGGCAGAAGCTTCTCACGTGGTGGGAGTTGCATTACAAGTGGCCGTATCCTTCTGTACGTATAAATTTACTCTCATCTCTCTATGCCCTCAACTTTTAAAAAAATATACTACAACCGATTAGGTGTTCTAACCCTTGTGCAAGCTTATTCTTTATTCCTTTTAGAAAGACCAATTTCTTAACACATACACATATCAAAAAAACTTTTCGCTACACGCGGTATATTTTGATTTTAAGATGAAATTGTGAATTTTTTTCTCTTTGTTAAATAACTTTGAACACTTTCAGTGTGTATAGCAAAAAACTTATGAATACGGTTTGAAATAACTAAATTTGTACGAAAGGTACTTCAATTTGTACATTTTTAACTTCAAAAGAATTTGAAAATTCTAACCGATTGTAGTGATAGTGAAAAATCTTTAATAAAAATATAATTAAATATATATGACAGGTTATAAAGAAGATATAGTATGGTTAACAAAAAAAGGGTATATTAATAGAATAACTTAGTCTTGATTGACAGAGCTACTCCATTTTAGGGAATAAAGGTATAGGTTTGTCACGTTATGGAACAAAGGCAATTGTCGCGACAAAAGATGAAAAACTAGAGGCTTGCATTTTGTTCAAAATGTTTAAAATTAGGTTTACGTATTTAGTTGACGACAAAAAAAAAAGGTTTACGTATTTAGTTTTATATTTTGTCAAGACTCTTTGTTTACGAAGTGCATGACATTGGAAAAAGTTCATTGTCATAAGAGAAGTTGAATGCTTAGTGACGTGAGTTTGATGAACGGTTTCATAAGAAAAGAAAGAAGAAAAATTGTATTTTAAAATCTTTATATTATCAATCTTCAGAATCACTATTTTATACATTTCTAGACAATGTTATGATTTATTTTCCCTCTACAATAAAAGCCTCTTTTATAAGATACATTATATTTAAGCCTTATTTTTTTTTGTCACAAACACACTCCATTTATCGATTAAATAAATACATTTAATCCTCTATATGAGCATATGTGACTAATTATATACAGAATATTCATTTATCGTCTCAAATCGGCAGACTTATACCTTTACTGTATCATCATCATCATCTAGCCTTTTCTGAAACATTGATTATTACAAAAGTGATGATGGCTGGTTTGAGTTGGTGGCAGGAATCAGAGAAGGTGGCATTGGCGGAATCAACAGGTTTAGATCAGAAACAAATCAACAATTGGTTCATAAACCAAAGAAAACGTCACTGGAAACCTTCCGAAGACATGCAGTTCATGGTGATGGATGGTCTGCAGCACCCACACCACGCAGCTCTATACATGGATGGTCATTATATGGGCGATGGACCTTATCGTCTCGGGCCATAAGAGACCGAATATGCAGAGATCCAAAAATGTTAGCCATATTAGCCATATTATAACAAACCTCTTGTGGCATTCTTCATTTACAATTCGTGATTTGAACTCCCTAGATCAGTTTACTACCTATAGCTTTATTTGTTTTACCCGTTTTGTAATGTCTTATCTTTGGCGGGTTTGAGACGTCCTAGAAAATATCTTTTTACTTTAATTTCACTTTTTGAATCGTTTTTCCCCTAATGTGATATTTATAATATATAAGTATTTTAGTAATCCGCAGAAAAACTGGAAATGTCATGCTCGGTTTTCTTTTGTTTTTAATTATATATATTTTATGCCAAAAAGACATCTTAGGTATGAAATGTATGTAAGAACAAAAATAAGATTCCTTCCACCGTTTGTATATAACTCCAGGGTAATGTCGTTGATGAGTCATGAAACCATCTTTTCTCATTCAACACCCAGATACTCTTTTATTGTGTGGCTTGCGATTCAAAACCATTTAACAACGGTTCATCGGATGACTGCTGGAATACAGGAGCTAGTGCTAAATGTGTACTGTGTCAAGACCCGATGAAGTCCAGGGTTCACCTGTTCTTCTCATAATCTCATGTCACTTCTCCTTGGATGTTTGGATTTTGGTTCGAAGTTTGCTAAACGCTCGTTTCTGAACAGATTGGGAGACCATCATTAATATCAATACATTATCTCAGACCACACTGTCTCAGACACGGCTATAGCTAGCTCTTACTCCTCTGTTTCTTATCTACATCGCTTACATATGATAATACACAGTCAATGGAGAAAACATAAAAGCAAGACGCTATGGAGATGTACCTTCATCACCGACTCGACTCATGCAGCTCATAGACAAACAAGTCAGAAACCGCCATCAAAGCCTTAATGGACCATACGATGCGGAACCATCTTTAATATTTTCCGGTTCAGGTTAGCAACTCTTTCTCCCTCTTTGAATTTTATTTTGGTTGTATATTAGCCGATGGAACTATTTGTTATTATTTTTTTAACAGCTATCTTTATTTATATAAAATTCAACATCCATAAAAAATATATTAAAGAAGCATAAATACAATTTCATAAAACAACAAAAGAAAATTTTACAATTTTTCTTCGATAAAATTTATTCGACAAGAGAATGTCCACTCTTTCCTTTCTCAAATTGGCATTTACTCGGATGCGATCTTCAACTTTGGCTGATGTCAATCTTTTTCCATATTTGTATTATATTGACTAGTTCTCAAATATTCTTGGAATAAGAACCTAATTTACTAATCTTTTCAAAGAAAAAAAGCTTTGAAACTGCCAATTTTTAACGACTCTATGTACATCGCTATACAATAAGGAGATTTCTGCTCCAAACCAATGTCCCTTCCAAGGCGGTTTCCATGGTAATGTCATTCTCTTCAGGGTAAAAACATCAAAGAAAATAAAAATTAAATCCCAGAACCACCGACCATTGATCCTTACTTCTCCTACCCCTAGGTCAAAAATCCAGATTACGTACTTGACCAGCGATCAGAAGTTGTATACGATCACACTAAGAATCGCCTTTGGGAGGTTTCGATGGGAGCGGTTTGTATAACTTTCTTTTCGACTCAAACTATTTATATCTTGATTGGGTTCTATAATATAAATCCTACATTAAAAACAAACAAAAAAAAGGAACATAATACAAAGAAATTAAGAATTGGAAATTTTCAGGGGAAACTCAACTGAAATTGTAAATCAGCTTATGAGTAACCTATGAGACCTTCTTCATATTTGTGATCTCCGATGTGGTGGTGAAGATTCTTGTGTTAAATTCACACTCAAAAACATAGACAACGGTTTGGAGGAGAAGCTTCAATATGATAGAGTGGCTATGGGATTGGTTGCATTGCGGCTACTGATATATTCATATCTTTGCATATTTAGCATGCATTTTTGGTCCAAGAATAGAGTCCCATGCATTCATATAGTATTTTTTTTTAGAGTTTTATGATTTTTAATTAAAGTGAGTCTTGCATTTTTGGAGTGTTATTTAGGTATATTGGAGCTGTATAGGAGTAGAGGAGGTGAGATCAGTGAAGAAAATGGTGAAAAAAGATGAAGAAATGATGAAATTGGCCAAATGGAGTTTCTCAGCAGAAAAACTTACTGCGGGTAGCAAGAATCGGCCGAAAACATGTACCACAGGTTGCATTTATCGGCCAAAAACCTGAAAACTTGGGAAAATACCATTTGTGCCGATACGCTTCAAAAATGCATGTACCGGAAGTCTTACACGCCGATCCAGCTTCCAACGCCTTCATCAAGAATCAAGAGGATCAAGTCACGGTTCCCAAACACTTGGAATCAATGGATTTGTAGATGTGAGCTGAAAGATATGGCGACGGAAGATGTACATGTCCTGCAGCCATTCTGGACCGATCCGATGTGCCTCAAAGATAGGCCATGAAGAAGCCCTTCCTTTCCAATTCAATATCCGTTGTATTCATCAAGATTTGAAAGAATTGAGTCATCTTTCCGGAACACTTGAAATCAACTCATTTGAAGTAGTGAGCTGAGAGATATCGCAAGCTGAAAATGAACATGTCTCACAGCAAGAATCCGGAATCTCCTGATGCGTTTCGAAGAACCACTGTACCAGAAGCCTTTCTCTCTCTCTGAATGCACTCGGACTATTCATTAAAGTGTAGGCAATTGAGTTGCATTTCCTCTGAATTTTGAATCAAGTCGTTTGGATCAGTATCTCGGGAGTTATGACGCCTCAAGTACGAACAGGTCTGACCAAAATTGGAATGCTCCGACTTAAGAGTAACCCTGAGCAACATGCGATTGATTCTGGGAGCCATGCTGCGAGTGATTCTGTGACTTCTGTGATCCGGAGCAGATGGAAAGATGCCACAAACTCTAAATTCTGCTAAATGTAAAGCTATGCTCTGAGTAGTGCTCCGGGTGGGAACAAGCTGGAGCAGTCTGCGAAACATTTGTGAAGCTGTGCTCCGGATTGTGCTGCGAGTAAGGTGAGTCGAAGCAAGAGGGAATGCTGGGGATCAAATCATTCAGCGAGTGCTCCGAGTTGGCTGCTCTTAGTGAGAAAGACCCGGAGCAATGTCTGAAAAAACCCAAATTTCATTGCTCCGGGTTGTGCTCCTGATAAGAAATCCCTTGGAATATTTCACTCTTGACCGATTGAGGTTATGTTTTCCTTGACTCCAAATGATTCACCGAATAAGATGCTAAGGTGTGAGCGATTTGACCAAAATTTCTTAGGCCTAACACCGTGAGAAAGGTTCAAAACAAGGGGGTGACTGAGTTGACTGAATTGGATCCACGGTTAAAGGATGTTAGAGCGTGAGACAAAGTGCTGAAAATCTCTAAGCCCCTAAAACGACTTAACACGTTCTAAAGAGACAGCCGAAAGAAGGCTGCATCAAGTATTGTGAATGACACATGATAAACCAAAAAAGATCTAAGGCAAACCACCTAAGAATCAGAAGTTCACAAGGAACAAAAGAGAAAGAAGTCTCTAAATTTTGTAGATAAAAAAGGTGAATTAAATACTCTGAGTACAAAGAGAAGGAAAAGTATACAATTGTACATAGGAAATTACATAAAGAAATGAATGAAGTTGACTGAAATAAAGATAAGGTTGAATGAATCCTCGGCTAGCCTTTGATTGACTCTTGAGTTGCTCGACCGAGTGTGACTTTTAGACTTCCGAACCATGAACCAAGCCGCGGTTGAACTTGGGTCGTGAGGTGGTGTAAGATTTAACCTCGTTAAAACCCCATCCGGTAAACCCATTAGGACAAACCCGGATGTAAGGAAAAAGAGTATTAAACCTTACGCCGAGACCAAGTTAGCTTTTGTCTTGATATATGAGTACGGTCTTGGGTGTAAGTTCCTCTGAGCTGATTCTGATCCCACTTAGCAATCCTCGAACTGCTCCAGCTAGCTTTCGAGCTATCGACCTCGTCATTGGTCCTTCTGGAATGACCAAGTTTGCTTCTGGAACCTCTACTTTGATCTCTGGTTCGGTCTCTAGGTCCATGATCACATCATCTGTCCCCTTTCTTATATTGGACTTGTCCTCAAGTCTGGCTCATCTGGAAGAAAATGAATAATGTCCGTAGTATGAAAACTGGAACTGACTGAATCTTACCTTGTAGATCAAATTTATAGGCGTTGGCATTGATCTGCTCTAAGACCGGAAAATGTCCGTCCACACGAGGAAACAGCTTGGACTTCCGTTCTTCTGGAAAACAATCTTTCTTTAGATAAATCCACACCAGGTCGCCTGGTTCAAAGACTTTCTTGCTCTGGCCCTTATTGGCGTGCTTTTTGAATTTCTCCATTTTGCGTTTGGTGTTCTGGTTGGTCTTCTCATGCATTTGCTTGACTAGCTCGGCCTTTTTGTTTCCATCCATACTCACACGCTCAGCAAAAGGTAAAGGTGTAAGATTAAGTGGAGTAAGCAGATGATAACCATAGACAAGTTGAAACGGAGAAAAGAAATTGGTAGAGTGAACCACATGGTTATAAGAAAACTCTACGTTTGGTAAACAATCCTTCCATTCCTAATGTTTTTCTTAATAACAGAACGCAAAAGGGCTGATAAGGTCCTATTGAACGTTTTGGTTTGTCCATCAGTATGAGGATGGAAGGTGGTGGAGAAACAAAGCTTAGTGCCGAGGTTAGACCAAAAAGTTTTACAAAAATATCTAAGGAACTTAGAATCTCGATCAGACACTATATTCCTAGGCATACCATGTAAACGAACCACCTCCCTAAAGAACATGTCAGCAACATTGGATGAATCGTCGGTCTTATGGCAAGGAATAAAATGGGCCATTTTCAAAAATCTATCGACCACTACAAAGACCGAGTCCTGACCCTGTTTAGTCATAGGCAAACCCAAAACAAAATCCATAGAAATCGGTTCATGGTGAACAACTAGGAATAGGGTGTGTACATAACTTGGGGTTGGCTTTTTGTTTTCACAAACTTACAAGTGGTACATCGGCCACAGATCTGTTCCGCATCGCGTCTCATATGCGGCCAGAAGAAGTGGTCCTGCAAAATGTGAAGGGTCTTGGCCATGCCAAAGTGCCCCATTAGTCCTCCACCGTGAGCCTCCCTGACAAGAAAGTCTCTCAAAGAATGGTTAGGGATACACCAAAGATTCTCAAAGAACAAGAAACCATAGCTTCTAAAGTATTTCCCACAATTAAAATTTTCATAAGAATCATA